GATTATAATTCAGTTAAAATCAGATTGTAATACAGTGATATTGTTATATTTGCAGAGAAGGGGAATGAATTAATCAAAATGTCTTCTATTGATATTGCTATATCTTAGAGAAATGATATCAGTTAATGAATTAATCAAAATATCTTCTAGTGATATTGTTATATCTGTAGAGAAATGGCATGAATTAATCAAAATATTTCTAGTGATAATGTTATATCTGCAGAGAAATCACATGAATTAATCAAAATGTCTTCTAGTGTTCGTGTTATACTGGTAGGGAAATGGTATGAGTTAATGAATTAATCAAAATTTTTTCCAGTGATATTGTTATATTTGCAGAGAAATGGCATGAATTAATTTATTCAATTTGATATTTTTGAGTGATCAGTTATTTTTCAGTTATCAGATATGGTACTTTCCATATTTAATATTCGATATTATATGGTCGATATTTTGTTTGTGCAACTTTGCTAACTTTTTAATATCGTTCGATGTTTTTGATATGATAATAAATGTGTGATACAATCTTACTGAAATCATAAATTGATATGTAGTGCTTCTAAATAACTTTATCACTGATCTGATATAGTCTTACTAATTATATGATTAATATTTCTGATATAATTGATTAGTCGATTTATAATCCATCAATTTATCTATTCGTCAAGGAAACAATTATCACTAATCATTAAATGTTATCATCAAACTCTAACATTTTTCTTATGTTTAAAACAATACATTAATTTTGCATTTGCATTTTCAATCTTTTATATTATGCTAATTTAATTCATCGTCATCTTTCTTTTTTTCCATTCTTCTATTTCATATTTATTTATTTCTACATTTTAAACAAATAACTTCGGTTTCCCTGTTTCCTGATTCTGACATTCGCTTTCTTCTCACTTTCTTTTCGGTTAATTTTTTTTTCTTTCTTTCTATTATTCTTTTTGTCACATCCTTTTTGCTTCAATGCCTTCATTTTTCATTTTTTTTTTTTACTGCTAAAATCAATGCACTTATTTTGAAAGTATTTGAGTGATTGAAGAGTAAGCGCAAAAGGAGCAACAATTGAGGAAAAAAGAAGTATAAGGACAAAGTGAAGGGAAAAAGTAAAATAAAATAAAATGAAATTAGCTAAGAAATTATTCCAACTCACTCTCTCTCTTTTACTATTTGTTCATTATTTATCTTTTCATGCTCCTTAATAGACTTTTTATTGATTATATTTTCTTTTTATAAAACTTTATTCCAAAGGCCTTAGAAATTTTAAACTTTTTAATCGATTTTTTCTTTCCTTTTCTTTCGTTTTCCCAACCATTACAAATAACAATAATAATAAAACAATTTAAAAAAAAATCTAACAATGACAGTAACAATGATATCAACAATAACACAACAGCAACAACAATAACAACAGCAATTTATATATTTTCGTTTTATTTTTATTGATTCCACTTGTTTTTTTGATTACTTCTAATATTCCATTTCTCTCCTCATTTCATCCTTCACTTTTACTCTTTCTTTCTCTCTAAATTCTTTTCCATTTATTTTATTTTCAAAGATAGCAACAAAATTGTGTTGCGTTAGCTTCTGAATTAGCTTCTGAGCTTATTTAGAAAAATCCTATTTTCCATACTTTTACAACATCAAAAATCATTCCAAAACATATATCAGTTTTATCAGCTTATCATCATCATCATCCTTTCTAATTTATCTTTTCATTTCAATAAATGTATCAAAACAATATTTCCTTTTTTTATTAATAAATATTTCCAAAAAAAAAGTTTTTCAAAAAAAAATTTGATCGTTAAATTAACATATACTTTTAATCTAAAAAAAATTAGCACAAACAAAAAAAAGGAAAGAAAAAGAATTTTATTACAACAAAATGGAAATAAATCATTTTACATCTGAAATATTTCTTTCTTTTTTGTATTCAAAAATCTTATTTTATACTTTAAAGAAGAAAAAATTGATTTAACTTTCAATTATTAGAAATGTATGCAAACTATGAGATAAGTGTAATTAAAATTTAATTAAATTGAAGTAATAAAATGACTAGCTTGAATCTTAAAAAAAGTGAAGAAAAGAGTATTTTTGCACTTATTTCATATTTTTTTATTTATCAAAATGAATTTTTCTTTTTAAATCAGTATTATGAATAAATTAATTTCAAAAAAAAAAAAAAGCAATGAAATTGTAAAATTTTTTGGTGATTATTTTGTATTTTTAATAATTTTTTTGACGAAATTTTCGTCAAAATTTTAGATTTGAAATTATTATTATTATCATCAAAAATATTATCATCATCACTATCAACATCAAGAAATTGTTATCATCATTACTACTACTAGTAATAGTTATAGTCTCATATGCTTATTCTTAATTTTCTCTTTTCAAATATCAGAATGATAACAAAAAATTTATAAAAAGCTCAATTTTTAGCAAAATAATTGCTAAAAGGAAAAAAAAATAAAAATGAAAAATAATGTAAGGCAGAAAATGAAAAGAAAACGAATTAAATTAAATTTTTTTTTTTCTTTTAGAAAAATTTTATAAAAATATATTTGAATGAAATGAGTGCGATTTATGTGCACTAACATTCTTTGCTACTCAAAATATATTATCTATTAGAAATCTAATAAAAAGAAAAAAAAAAAAATTAGAAATATTCGAAATTTTTTCAATCATTTTTAAGCAATAAGTATTTATATATAATAGTTTAATTTTTTTAAACAACTTGACATCACATATTTTTTGCTTATTAGTTCTATTTAAATGCTTTATTCTATTTGATTTAATTCTACTATTTAGTAATACTTATTGATTAATAGTCAATTTTAATTTAATTAGCTGATGAATAAGGACATTTCAAACCAGTTCAAATTTTGATCTTATTTTCATTCCTCATTTTCAATCAAATGTAAACATTTACAACTATTCTTTTATTGTTTGGTTCTATTTCCAAATTATGATAAATGATTGCTGTTTTAAAGTTTATTACAATTTCTCATATTACTAATCAATTCATTAGTTTATAAATATTGCTAATAATTTTATTTTCACTTTTTTTTTTTGATAATTTCAAATATATTATTTTTACATAATTTCAAATAATAATATTAATTGTTATATATTTCATATATTACAACATATTTATATAATATATCTATATTTATTTACTTTTTAAAATTTTGTAAAAATATAATATCAAAAAAATTTATGAACTTATAGTTATGTTCGATGATTTTAATTTCATTACTTGAAACAATTTCAAATTTAAATTCGTATATTCGATTTATTCATTTTACAAATTATCATTTGTTGCTTAATTAGGAAGAAAAAAGCACAAACAAGTCAAAGAAAAAAAATTCGATTCAAATGCTAACACAAACAGAATATTACGAACAAAAAAAGTAATCGTTTACTTTTTTTTTAGAAAATTTCACGATTCTTAACAAAATTTAATAAAATCTTATAGCTATCAATAATTTCGAAAAATATAGTTTAATTTTTTTTTGTTTTTTTTTTTTTTTTGAAATTTTAACCATTATAAGTGACATTTTAAGTGTTTTCTTTTTTTTTTCATTTAATTTCTTATATTCTATAAATTAAAAAGTAAAACTAAGAAAACAAACGAATAGAAAATTTGTAAAATTTTTAATCATAATTTTATTAAAATTTTAAAACAAAACTTCTCAGTTTGCTTCATACTTATTTGTTTATTGATGCACTAAACTTTTTCATCGTTTTTACTTTTTCCACTTTTTTCTCCGCTTACAGTAGATCAATCGAAAAATATTTATTACACATTTTGTTACATTTTGAAAAATTCCCTTTCAAAGTTTTTTTTTCTCCCTTCTTTTTTCTTTTTAGTCATCATTTTACTCACTAGTAATTGTTGAAATGTAATTAAATTTTAATTTTAATTTTTATTTGAATATATAATGTAAATCAAGTAGATAACAATTAATTACTTAAGTAGACTATGTTAGAATAAATAAGTACAGAGAGTAATGATTGAATAATTAATTATGATGCAAATAATAATAATTATTTCAATTTCCTTTTAATATACACAGAACAATTTTAAAAAAAAAAATATAAATAATTAAAAATAAATTAAATTAATTAGATTAGCATAAAGTTTTTGATATTCTTACAAATTATTTAATAAAATAATAGATAATTCGTGAGATCTTAATTCATATCAATTTTACATAATATTTGCATTTTAATTAATAAAACAAAATAATTTCAAATGAGTAGCAAGCATAGTAACAAAAAGTTAACGAATTATAAAGTTTAATTGATCAATATTTATTTTAAATATAAAGAATATGAGGAAAAAAATTTAATATGAGTTTATTTTCAATATTTTTTGATTTATTTTAATAATAATAATATCAAAATGCATTAAAAAGCAGAAAAAAAAATAAATAAATAATTACAAAAAAGTTTTCAATAATTTTTTTTTTTTAAAAAAATCAATCAAAGTTTTTTTTTAGAAAAATTTTATATGAGTTTTGGTTTGAATATAATTTTCGTATTTTTCATGTAAGAAAAAACAAAATATAAAAAATTTGACTGATCAATTTTAATAATTTTCAATCTTTAATTGTAAATTTTAATAATTGAAAAAATCATTTTCAATAATTATTTAGCGATTTGAAAAAATTATTTTTGACAACTATCAACAACCTTATTAAAGTTCTATTTATGGTTGCTTAACAGTTCAAAACTTCTTTCTTTTTTGAGAGTAAATTTGAAGAATATTTGATGATTTTAAAAATAATCGTTAAAAGCTCAAATTGGATCAAATTGTTCATTAAAATAATTACAAGTTAACATTATTATATCAAAATTTCAAGTTGAGAAACAAAAAATAATTTTTATTGATCCTCAACTTACTAATTATTTCCTGACAGAAATCATTTTTTTCGTCTCTCTTCTTTTTAGAAACTTTTAAGATTAAAAAAAAAAAAATACATATATAAATAATGCTTAGATACAAATCAATTGTTGATGATATTATTATTATTATTATTATTATTATTATTATTATTATTATTATTGTTATTATCATTATTATTATTATTATTATTATTGTCAATATTTATATTATTATATTATTTGTGATCCATGATAACGAGAAATGAAAAAAATAATATTTTTTTTGTTCACTTCATTACATACTTTGCGGATCACTTTTCTATTGATGGTTGTTTTTTCTTTCTTTTATTAAATTTGCAAATTCTAGATGATATTTATCAGTGAAAGTGTCACAGTGTCATATATTTGATTTATTTATTTGAATGGTTCAAAGAATACCATTGTTACATCTTAGAAATGTTAAACTTTTCAGTTATCGATAACCAAAATTTATTTAACAAACAGTCAAATTCCTTCAATAGTGCAATGTGTATGTGCACATGTTTGTATGTATGTGCACACATATAAAAATGCAGTGAAAAAAAAAAGGATGCAAAAATATAAATGTAACATTTCAATAATACATGTATGAATTTTTTTAATTTAATTTAAATTTTAAATAATAATTAACTCTAAATAATTTTAATTCAGATAATTTAAATTTAAAAAGCTAGTAGTGTCTTTTAAATTTAAATTATTAGCTTTATATAATATATAAGTTATTATTTATTCATTTTTAAATTAAACTAAACTTTAAAAAATTTCATTTTTTTTTTATTAAAGAACATATAAGAATGTTGGATTATGCTACGATTAGAATATTTTTATTATAAAAAAGTGTTTTGACAATTGATATATCAATTGAATTGATAATTATTCGTATTGATTGAATGAAATAATTTAGTAACTTATAGTAAAAATTATTCTTTTTGTAAAAATTATTCTTTTTTTTTGATAAAACTTGAAAATTAATTTCATTAATACACTAACTTGCGTTATACTATAATCACAAAATGTCATAGGCCAATTTGTATATGTTATCATAATGACAAAATATCATAGGTCAATTTGTACATATTATTACAAGAAGATAGCTACAAATCAAATTGTCTGTATTATCAATGGAAAATGTCATTGGTTAAATTTAGCGAAAATGTTTGCTTACCATTTGACAGCAAAAATAAAAAAAAATATGGCAATATTAAAAATTTTAAAAAAAAGTTAAATTTGACCATAATGAGTCATCAATTTTCCGTTTTTTCTCTCTTTTACTGAATGATTTTGCCGGATGATAAATGATTAGAGCAGGAATGATAATCGTTTAGTATTTGATAGAATCGGTATTAGTTGATGTATGATTCATTACAGGTTTCTCTGTTCTCGGTTTCTCTGCCTTGCCGGTGGAAACCGGTTAGTAAGAAATAACTGTTGCATACTGTCCCTCATAAAGGCTGTTTGCGTGTTTGCGTGTACGGTGACGCAGGTTGAGGGTCAACGAGAATTTTAGAGGATGGATGAGAGATAGAGGAAGGTGGCAGTGAATATTTAGGAAGGTATGAGCGAGGTTATTACTAATCGGAGTTTATTTTTTATGAAGATTGATGTTTACTATTTTTGGCTTTATTTATTTGTACACTTTCAAATATTTTGACTTTGCATAACTAATAATTTTAAATTCCTCCCATTAATCGATTATTTCGTTCTTCTTTTAAACCAAACTTAGAAATTTACTGTTATTTATCAAACATTGTGTTAAGCAATCAATAGATTTGACATTTTGATTTATAATATCTTTTTTCAGTATCAAATATATTGTTTATTTTGCGGTTGATTATTTTAGATTAATTTACATACTTTACGTTGCAGGTTTTCTAATATACTGATATTTGCATTATTAATTATTCATTATTAATGCCATCAGTTATTAAGGTTTCTTTTCTTTTTTCTTTCGTTTGGTATACGTTTCAGTTGTTCGTCTTTTTTTTTCTTTCGTTTAGTATACGTTTCAGTTGTTTGTTTGTTCGTTTCAGTTGTTCGTCTATTACATTCAGTAATGTGAATAATCAAATAGCGATTGTTATATAGTTTATGACAAATAGTTTGTGGTGTTTATGTAAACAGTTCATTTTACATGGTTATATTCAGCGTAAAGTTTATGGATTGTAACTTATCCAATATGCTGTTACTCATTGTTTGTTGTTTACATAATAGAGGATAGTTCGCATTTCCATGAGAATAATTGTGCGACCATTGCTATAACAATTTATTATTCCATTCTTTTGGTCTAATAATTAACGAGGTACTATGAAAACCATTTTCATGTCATCTTACTATCATGATGATTATTTGCTACAATATTCATGTGATTTTGAATGTTTGGCTTTTATACTGTACTATATAAAAAATTTTTTTAATATTTTTGCGTAAATGCTCCATCTTAATTCAATTTTTCTTACATATATATACTTCCTCAATTACTTATTTTATATTACTTTTACACTGTTAATAGAAATCTATTTGCTATCGTAGATTGTTAAAATATTGGAGAAATGTTCTCAAAAGTGCATATACATCTCCTATTGCCACAATTTTTTTTTTTTCAATAGAAATTAGAAAGGATTTATTGATTCTTTACCAAAAAGCTTACATGTTAGGATGTGAGGTTATGAGGATTTGTTGATGTGTATATGTATGTATATGTAAGCATGCATGAATATATATGGATGTATGCATACATATATGTGTATGTGGTATGTTTGCTTTGCTTGCTGTTAAATTAGGAAAAAGTAGAACTTATGGCAAAGCATAGCGGAAGCATACCATATATTTTTTCAGCAATTTCCTTTCTCAAAGGCAAACTTCCATTCATTTTTTTTTTTTTTTTTTGTTATTATCGCTTATTACAATTATTATTGTTCGAGAAAGAATGGGTAATTGAATGGGAAGTTTCTGATCAAGCAATTTTCTAAATTAATTAAGTGATATAATTAATTAATTAGTTCCTCACTCATCAATCAATAATTGGGCGAGAGTTTGGTAATTAAGATAATAATTAAATGAAAACACGTTGCATATACTTGAAACATTTATCGATACATGAAAATTGTGGCACTATTTTTTGTTTTCCGCTTTGATTTACTTCTGATCGGTATTTTTAGTTAATTCTAATATTCATGGGTCAAACTATGGTAAAATTTTAACTTATGGATTATCGGCAATATGATCGTTAAATTTTGGCTTATTTGCTATTCATCATAGGTTCATATGAACGCCTTCTTTTTCTGTTTTTTAAATATCCATATTTCTAGTAAAAGCTATAAACGCTCAGCTGCTCTTATCATATTTATTATCTTACCAACAACAAGTCGGATTTTCCATTTAAATCATTCCTTTGACTTTTGTTTAGATTTTCTTATACATTTTAAACCGGGCTAGCAACCAAATGCTTTTTCGTTTTCGAAAAAAAAAAAAAGCCTTAAATTGACACTTTAATGTTGTTTTCAAATGGGTTGATGTCGTTCTTTGCATCGGTTATAATTGATGAAATTTTTTGAAACTCTCCACTGTAATTGTTTCAGGCACTGAAAGACATAACTGTACATAAACATTAAGCTTAGTTTCGTTTTATGTACAAACTGTTGCGGATACTAATTGGTTGAAATTTTTTTTGGACGAATTATTCGACAGCAAAAAGAGAATTCGTTCGAAATCGCTAATCTTCCTTCGTACCTTTGCAGTGTGGTGGTAGTTATTTAGCAAGGGAACGTGAAAATGTCGTGGGCTAATACGGGCATGCAAGCCCTGATACCAATTATTAATAGATTACAGGTTTGTTGTTATCAGATTTAAGATTTGTAGCTATTTTTCGAAGCGGTTTAAAATTATTTCATTGAATCAAATACTCCGATCACTTCATTGTATCTAGTATTTCGTTTCAGGATGCGTTTGCCCAATTAGGAACATCACTAAACTTTTGACCTCCCACAGATAGCAGTAGTCGGAGGACAAAGCGCGGGCAAATCATCTGTGCTCGAAAATTTCGTTGGAAAGTCAGTTTTTTTTTTCCTTGTTTTGGAACAATGTAAAGAATTTTTCGTAATTTGTTTATATCATTGCGACGATTTTAGTAGATTTGTTTTTTTTTTAGAGATTTCTTCCTCGAGGATCAGGCATCGTTACCCGCAGACCAGTTAATTTTGCAACTGGTACATGATCAGCATGTAGGTAAGTAACAGTTATGAAATGTAGGTCGTTCAGTATTCCATAGAATGTAACTCTCGGACTTAATTAAAAATGGTAGAAACATTTGGCGTTCTAACTTTTTCTTGATGAGTAACTATGAAATGCTCGATATGTATGAAATCGATTGTGAATAAGTACAGGATTTATTTATTTTTAGAATATGGAGAATTTTTGCACAAAAGAGGACAAAAATTCATTGATTTTGAAATGATCAAGAAAGAAATTGAAGATGAAACAGATCGTATGACGGGTCAAAATAAGGCATCTCGCCAATTCCAATCAATTTGAGAATTTTCAGTCCGAATGGTATCTTCGTTTAATATATTTCTTAATACATCATTGAATTTATTGAACATTTTTGAGTTGTATTGAATGTAGGAGCCACATGTTTATTTCGCCCGATATTCTTGTCCTATGTTGTACCTCACATTATCTAATTTCTAGCTTTCCATCCTCTGTAGGGGATAAATTTCATGTCTTCCAGATTTTATGATCTTATTACTATATCAGTAACGGGCCAAGAAATTCATCAAAATCCTTGATATTCTTGGGGAGCCATATTTTTCAAACATTTTTTTTTTCGCGAGAGCTCCGAAGTAGTGAGAAGAAATTTTGGCACTTGCTTGCTTGGATAATTTCATGAGTGCATATTAAGAATGTTCTTAGAAGAATAGCTATTCTCATAGCAGTGGAAAACTGTGTTTTTCTAGTATATCTATCATAGAAGTCTTCTGCCTTAATGTTTATGTTAAGATAACTAACTTTTCCTGACTGAACTCCCCTAAAGATCACCTAAGGTACAGTGAGTTGGCTATGCTGGAAAACTGGAAGAAGGTTGATTGGATTTGTGTTAGAAGGCACAAGACGAAATGTCTTCTAAAGGCAAGATTAGACACAGAAACGTCTTACTACTTCTATGAAGCAATTATTCAAGAATTCTTATTTACCTGGATATGTCTAATGAAGCAAGATTGTAGAATTTTTTACAAAATGTTGAATCAAGATTTCAGGTATTTCTTTGAGTATTTTTTCTGAGTAAATTTTTCTGTTCCAATAATTTTTCCAAAATAAAATTTCAGTTTCTAATTTTTCTATTTACCAGTGGGAATTTACTGGTGCTTTGATAAACGGGCTAGTTGTTAAAGTTTATTTTTAGTAAGTGACTATTTTTAATAAGCTTGGAAACGAAAAAAGTTGCCTTAACATTTGTATTAAGCAAGTAGTTATGTTTCCCATCCGATGCACTTAAGCGTATTGAAAAGCGACTTATGCTCATTTTTTGGAAGTTCTCATGGTTTATGGATTGCCATTATTTCAGATTTCTAACTTTTCTTCCTGATGAAACAATCCCCATACAGTTCTCTTTCTGGTAAATTGTTACCAGCATTAATGAAATGATATTTTTATTGTGCAAAATACAAGACCGTTTATATATCTTCAAATTCAAATGAATTATATTTTCAGTATTGAACTTGACTCTTATCGACTTGCCGGGCTTGACAAAAGTGCCAGTCGGTGATCAACCTCCCGATATCGAACATCAGATACGAGAAATGTTGTTAACTTATATTTCACGTGAAACGTGTCTCGTTTTGGCAGTTACTCCAGCGAATAGTGATCTTGCTACATCTGATGCACTTAAACTTGCGCGAGAGGTTAGTGCGACAGTGTCATTTGGACACATTTGGACATGAAGAAACCCCAGGCAGTTTTAACTTTTAAATCTTTTGTCCTTTTTCAAAACATTGTCATTTATCAAGAACCATGCTTGCAGGTTGATCCACAAGGACTGCGAACCATCGGTGTATTAACAAAGTTGGATCTAATGGATGAAGGTACTGATGCTCGTGATATTTTGGAGAATCGTTTATTCCCACTTCGCAGAGGTGAATTATTTATTAAATTATTCTAAGTCATAAAACAGGTAAACAGTTTCGAAATAAAAAAGTAACTGATATAGTTGACCTCATGCTATCTCAATCTTTAATTACTGGCAGAGGTCGTTGTGGTGTTTTCTTTGTACGAACTGTAAAATTTCTTCTTTCATTTAATATTTTAAAATTTCATATTAAACAGAGAAATTACGAATTTAGAATGATTCCTTAAAAAATTATTTCCAAATGCAAAGTTTAATTTTTTTTTTTTTTTTTTTTTTTTTTTTTTTTTTTCAAGAAAAGTGGAACAAACAGAGCGATAGAAATACATATCATATTTAGGTTATATTGGTGTTGTAAATCGAGGTCAGAAAGACATTGTTGGTAAAAAAGATATTAGGGCAGCACTTGATGCCGAACGAAAATTCTTCATATCACATTCTGCATATCGGTGAAACTTGTTTATTTTTCTTTTTTAAATAATATCACTAGCTTCCGATGTACAGTTTTACCAAAAATTATGAACTGTTCTTTGTCTAATAACAAAATTATTGTAACAGACATCTGGCAGATCGTTTGGGAACACCATATTTACAAAGGACGCTAAATCAGCAACTTACAAACCATATCAAAGATACGTTACCGGCATTAAGAGATTCGCTTCAGAAAAAACTGTATGCATTGGAAAAAGGATGTTAATGAATATAAAAATTTCCAGCCAAATGATCCTTCCAGAAAGACGAAAGCTCTTATGCAGTACGTTTCCGCAGTTTTTTTTCTATGGCATCAATAGGGTAGAGAAGTTCTGTATTATGATTTAGCGATTTATTTAAATGTGTTTTTTTTTTCGAAAGCATACAATAAATTTTTATATGATTCATACAGATTGCGTACATAGATTTGGAATCTCAATTTCAAATAAAGTATCTCACATCGCAAAACTTTTGATACAACGTTTTGAAGGGTAAGAACAGAAGAGCTAATTTTTTTGCCCAAGCTGAATTTCTGCACATGCATATGCATAACATAATTTCTTATTTTTTATTTCGTGAAAAGAGCTAAAATCATTATTCTTAGGATGGTACAAACTTTCACAACAGATATCGAGCGATCAATTGAAGGATCATCATCGAAGGCTGTAAGTACAAATGAATTATCAGGAGGTGCACGAATTAATCGAATTTTTCACGAACGATTTCCATTCGAAATTGTCAAAATGGAAATTGATGAAAAGGTTGACTTCTTCATATTCATTCTTGCTAACTGAAAAAGATTACACAACCTTTAAGCTCATGTTTTCTTATTTACAATAAGAACTATTGCAATCGTCGTAGATATATTTAAATTTTTCCTCGTTTTTTGCTTTTTTCTGCTATGGAAAAATGGTGCATAACCATGTTTAGAAGTATTGGACACAAAAAATTGACACCTGGTTTTTATACGCTTGAATGGATTTAATTTTATAGGAAATGAGACGAGAAATACAAATTGCAATACGTAATATTCATGGTATTCGTGTTGGTCTGTTCACACCTGACATGGCATTTGAAACTATTGTAAAGAAACAGATCGAACGGTTAAAGGAACCATCATTGAAATGTGTTGATTTAGTTGTAAATGAATTGGCCTCTGTTGTGCGACAATGTGCTGAATGTGTAAGCTTCATTATTTTTATAAGCATATATGTCATTAAGTCTTACTAATAATTCCGATGTTACTGGTAATGGTTACTATGTTACTGCACAGTTGAAACTGAAACAAAAATTCCTAATCGTTAAAATACCATATTTGCAATACCGAATTATTTTCTTTTAGTATTAAAAAGATATAATTATGAGATTTTGATAAAGAAAGAGACTAATGATTTTGATAAGATTACTTTTTTCTTCATTTTTGGATAGAAAAAAAGTGTAATCAAACATATGCTATAGGTTGCACGGTATCCAAGATTGCGAGACGAAATTGAACGAATTGTAACCACAAATATGCGAGAAAAAGAGCAGTCTGCAAAATATCACATATCGATGGTAGTTGATTACGAACTTGCTTATATGAATACTAATCATGAAGATTTCATTGGATTTTCAAAGCAAGTTCCTATTATTACTAATTTTGAGTTTTCTTTTAACTCTAATGATATGGGATAGTGCATAGTACTGATTATGCATTAACTGAAGGTCATCATCATTGAGCAATTCACTTATCAATAGTATTCTATTCAGTTTAATTCATTATCGTTAATATCACATTTCGAAATTAGGTTTTGCTTTATTCTGATTCGAAAGCATCTTATATTTAGAAATATGGTTTTATGTAAAAAGTCATAAAGTAATAAATAGTTTTTTGATTTTTATAGTGCGGAAGCAAAGGCATCGTCGACTTCACAAAAGAAAAATCTTGGTAATCAGGTGATAAGGAAAGGTTGGTTATCAGTGCACAATATATCTTTCGTGCGTGGTTCAAAAGATTGTTGGTTTGTTCTCACATCTGACAGTTTGTCATGGTATAAAGATGACGAGGTACATTATTTTCATTTCTTTCTTTTCTCATTCATTTTAGTCTAAGGATAAACATTGTCCTGTATGATAGGATCTGTTTTCAATTTTTTCAAATATTCTTTTACAACAGATCTAGTATATTTATGATAGAATCATATAGCTTATGAATTATAGCAATTATGGCTGCTGTGGTAAAATTTTTAAATGTTCGATACGTAGCATAGTTTTTTTTTTTTTTTTTTCATTCAGTATAGTTTTTTTTTTTTTTTTTTTTTCTTTTCTTTTGTAGCCTTTGCTTGATTGTCATGTAGCCAGAAATGCTGCAACATTTCCGGAAATGTTTACCTGTTGAAAATGTTTCACTACATAAAGTATTATTGCATTAGGTATTTTGAATATAATGAATTTTAAGTTACTTAGCTGGATTCCTGTTTTAGCTTTCCTAAAATGTTTTGAAACACTCCCTTGCATATTTATCTTACCATTCTCAGATAAGGGTGTCATCCAGTCGGTTTTAATAGCATATTTTTTTGAAGCTTAAAAACTTTTTTTTTTTTTATTTATAGGAAAAGGAAAAAAAGTATATGCTGCCATTGGATGGAATAAAATTGCGAGATCTCGAAGCTGGTTTTATGTCGAAGCAGCACAAATTCGCTCTGTTCTATCCCGACGGAAAGTAAGCCTATTTTTCTCTCTTTTCTGACAACTGAAATATTTTTGTAGTCTCTAACTATAAAGCTGAAAGAAGAAAAAGTGCTAAAGAACTAACAAAATTATTAACTTGAAGTAGGCATTATGCTTGCCTGTTATGCATTTTTACCATTGCTGTACTTTCATGGAAGTTATTGTTTGCGTATTGCATTAGGCAAACCTTATGATAATTATAATTTTTCTTGTCAGTATTTTCAATAGATAAGTAAATTTCTTTGTTTTCTTTTTCGCTCTCTTTTTGTGCTATGGTTTCTTTGATTTCAGCATGTAAGCAATTTAATTATTTTATTGGCAGATTAATATGGCCTGACAGAAGGACGCTTGTTGTATTTATGCGGTCAAATATTTTATTTTAAATTTGTAATTCAAAGTTTGAGGACTGGGCTGGTGCTGTTATTTTAGAGGAGGAGATTATATCTGCATTTCTAGGATAATAATGGTATGACTGGTTTACTTTATTTGCAAAAGTTTTTATCTCAGTAGATGAATCATTTTGTGGATAAATAGAAGTAAATTAGGAAAATCCCAAAGAAAACATCTCCAGCCTACTTATGCTGATTAATGTTCACATGTTTTTTTAACTTCCACTAACAATAAATATTTTCATTTCTTTTGCAGAAGGTAACTATAGCGACATGACTTTTCCGTAATTTTTCTTTCTGAAATTGAAACGTTGTAAATTGTTTTTTATCTAAAACTGAATGTGGATCGTGTAGTGAAAGTAGGAAATATCTGTTTATGTTTAATCGTCTAGTAACAATTTTTGCACAAAATTAACAACCTTTAATTTTTAGATGCTTTTGTTTTTTATTTTGGCATGCTGTTGTGAATACCACTATATAAGATATTGGCTTTTGAAAGGATATGATGTGTATTCACAATTGATTCAACTCTTTGTAGGCTGTAAAAGTCTGGGAATGTGTAAGGATGAGAAATGAGGTCCGAGTAGTTCTTATTATTAATTTACTGGTTTCAGTAATACCAACAACTATAGTAAGCAGGAGCGAAGATCGGAAGATTGTAATAGGAGACGAAAAAACTTGTCCCCAAATAATAATATCATAAAGATTGGTAATGCTTGTTTGATAGATGTTTGGAATGAAAAAGTGGCCATAGAATTCTTGTCTGTGATTGATATTGTGTGGATAATTAGATAATACAGGATATATCAGTATTTCTAGATAATGAATAATATTAAAATTTACGAAACAAGTTTGTTTTCCAGTATTTGGGCACTCTGGTTTCATTCTTTTGTCTTTTGATATTTCTGAAGCTTGACCAATTCTTCTATATCGGCAAGATTGACTTTGCAAATTATATGAATCCTACTAATCGCATGTTTCATAAGCATGCACATGACTCATATTTTCGAAACAGAATGATACAAAATGTGATGTATGTATCAGGAATATCTACAAGGATTATAAACAACTAGAATTGAGTGCTAGCAATCTGGATGAAGTAGATGCCTGGAAAGCATCATTTCTTCGTGCTGGTGTTTATCCAGAAAAGGAGAAATCAGCCGGAGATGATGAAGTAAGCTTTTCACTTTTCAAATTTTTATTTGCGTTTTTACCTTGCTCTGATGGATATAAATGTAAAATTCCTTTATATATATTCTTTGAATATTCTATATATATTCTATATTCTATTTTTACTTTCTAAATAAGGAGTGTTTTTTTTTTTTTTTTTTCTTGACAGACAGTTACGGAAATTGAAGAAACATCAATGGATCCACAGCTCGAACGTCAAGTGGAAACAATTCGTAATTTGGTCGACTCTTACATGCGGATTGTTACAAAAACAATACGAGATCTTGTACCGAAAGCAATTATGTTTCTCATTGTTAATAAAGTAAGATCGTCTAATAACCAAAATCTTCCTTTACAAAAAAAAAAAAAAAAAAAAAAAAAAAAAACGACTCACGCAACAAATTGCAAAGTAGAAGTCAGAGACAGTTTAAGGAAAATTGGGAAGCAATATTTCATATAGTGGGAAAGCTTTCCTTCACTGAAACAAATTGTATAGTTGACATCAATTGTTCCGGTATATTTAAAAAAAACGTATATATTGAAAAAAATTTTTCTATTTGTTCATTTTTTAATTCTGAGTTACTTTACAGGTTAATGAGTTTCTACGCGATGGTGATCTTTTGGCTAATCTTTATCAGCTTGGTGATACAGTCAGTTTACCAGTTCCATTCTTTTTCCTAATTTTCTTTATCTGAAATAGCAAAGCTCAGCGGAATGCTCCGTTCTTCTTTTGTAATTGATTAAAATAAGATTTATTTTAGCGTGTTATCTTTCTCCTGTCTTTGATCACTACTCTTTTCTGTTATTTCATGATAATCAGTGAAATTGTTTTACAGGATTCGCTGATGGAAGAAAGCCAGCTTGAAGCACAAAAACGAGAAGAAATGTTCCGAATGTATCATGCTTGTAAGGAAGCGTTAAAAATTATTGGCGAAGTAAATATGTCTACGATGTCAACTGATGCACTTCCTGCAGTAGCAAGCGATTGGTTGAGGTAGCTGTTTTTATAATGACAATTCTGACTGTGGTTAATGTGAGATGGGGGTTCAGTGAAAAACTCATCTTTGTTAATTATCTAACAAATTCCATTTCTTTACTCAGGATTAGAGGTCACTTTTAAGATGTTGAAAAAAAAAAAGAATTCCAACTTTAGATCTAATGGACCATCTCCGATATCGCGACCTGGAATGGGTGGTGGATTAACTGTGCAGCGTCCAGCTCCAATGCCACCACGGCCGACGGGAAATGTGCAGGATGCATCTTCGCTTGTGAGTCGACCATTACCGGGACCACCGGGTGGCCTTTCTGCTCCGCTGCTACCTATGTAAGTTAACCGCTGCTACCTATATTAACCATTAACCATAAACATTCTGAACAACTGTAAAACATCCTCTCCAATTTTATTTTTATATTGTGAGAATTATAATTACATGAATCGTACGGTCTTTTCTCATTGATTACTGTTTCTGTTACATTTTTTAAATTTTCCTTAGCGTTATGTGTGGTACATATCATATAATTAAATGCGAAATTAATACACATTTCAATCGTGCACGGTATTCAGAAGAATTCTTTCCTTAATGATAGTTTGCAAGTTGTTTTTCATAATAATTATAATTAATTATTATTGTTGTAGGAAGTTTGAGAAACTAATACCCTGTGATTGTTTCATTTGTTTAACACTTATTATTTTTCAAAGATATGAATTTATGAAATCATTTAGGCGTCCAAAATAATTCACCAAAGGGTAATTTATTAGTATTTTTTTTAGATCTGTTATTAAAGAATTGATAATGCATGTTTTGTTTTTATTCATTTATTAATTCGACATTATATGTTATTGTTACTGTTGGTTAGTTAGAATACTGTAATAGTTGTGGTTGTTGTGATAGAAACGCTGCATGAATCTTAGAAAATTGTTTATTTAATTGTTCTTCCTGTATAATCTAGTTTAGTTATCTATGAGCTCCGCCATTTTAAATGAATTCAGCTAAAGCGATAGCAAATAAATAATATGAAGGCAAGTTAAAATTAACAAATAATGAAGCTGTTATCGAAACATATGAGAAATCTCCAGTCTTTCAACTACAGCATTCCATAAACATAATTCTTTGTATTTGTAGGATTAAATTTAACCACTAATTTCGTGTTATTGAAAATTTTAGCAAATAAGCATCTCTCAATTAATGTATGTTACATTTTGCTTAATGTCTTAATGCATGAGATGTTGTGTGATGTGCAATCGTATAGGATAGTAATAAGAATGATTTGCTAATTTGTACACTAGATTGTTTGTTTCTTTTCAAAAAATTTTGAAGCATTTTAATAAGCGCTTATTATTGTTTCAGTCGAGTGCATAACAATTCAGCGGTTCAAAATGGTGTACCACCAAGGATACCAGATAGACCGCAGAAACCATCACGTCCTTATTGAATTCCAGCTAGATGCTACGATCTTTCTCCTTTCTTCTCATGTAAATATTTTTCTTTGTTAGTAGTGAACTTTACTAAAGTCTTAATTCACATGATGATACTTGAAATTTATTGTTACTTTATTTTAGAAAATTAGGTCATTCTATCGGTAGCAGTTTTTGTGCCAGTCATTCCAATGAACCTTTTTGTAGTTTTTTTTTTTTTTTTTTTTTATTTTCCTGACATTTATGATTACGTTTAATCCAGTATTGTAATGCTGCTTTGCTAAGCAGAATAGGAATAGAAATCTCATATGCGTTTTTCAGTCATTTAAAAATTTTGCTTTACTTTCGTTCTTTCAGAATCTTATCGCTAATTAAACTGGATAGTCTTAGAAAGTATTGTCTGTGGCAAATCTTGTTGTAAATTGTAGCAGTGAAACTTATCTCTATGTGATTCATTTTACTATAATTTATTTTTTTTTATTTCCTTTTTACGAATTTCTTTTCTTGAAATTTCTAGAAGGGAAAGGAATGGGAGACTCGTTCGCTGAATCACCTCTTTACTTCAGTCTTTGATTTAAATTTTCAAATTTAACACTAAAATTCACGTCATCAGAGCATCTCACTATATTTGAACAAGAAATGGCTTTTAATGAAGATTTGAAATTGAATCTTAAACCCCTTATTCTTATCAATCTTCTAGTGTAATCGCGTTATATTTTCTTGGCCAAGGTAGTAGAAAGGAAATTGTGGAATTACCAAATATCTACCAGAAAATTTCTTCTGAATATATTTATGCTATGAAATTCTTTCCAGAACTGTTTCTTGAGGGTTTTTTATCCAGCTATGATAGTCTATTTTGATAATTTGTGAAGCAACTTGATGTTTATGAATAAAAATATGTCCTTGTGATTTTGCTTCTCTACACATCTGAATTCTGTGGTCTCAGAGTAAGCATCGGGAATTTTTTTATTTTTCTATAAATAAGCCATCATAAATAATAACAATTCAATTCAACTACTGAAAAAGGAGAAAAGCAGAGAAATTCATTTATATCAGATACAGTAGTAAATTGAGTATATTTCAGAAAATGAAATAAGTTGAAAAAATCTTATAAAAAGACTTAATAGAGATTATTTGTTGGACTAGCACATGTAGGGTTTCCACTTAAAGAAAAAAACGCCTTAACGTTCGATTTGGATATTGTTAAATACAGTAAATGGCGATATTCAGATTTGTTTCCAAGTAAACAATAGATATGCACGAAATTGCTCTTTCAATCTTCTAAGATGTTCAGTACTCCTTTTGTAATAAAATTGGTGCGTACAGTGGTGAGACATTATTAATCCGTTTCCTCTTCAAAATATTCATCCGGCTCTGATTCTTTGTCACTATCGTTCTGATGACACTGCGTTGTTGGTACTAAATGGTAGTTTTTCGAAAGTTTGATAGTTTTGCCACATTTGCACGATTTCTACCGTACTGATTCCTCACTTTCAATATTTTATGAACATAGCGTGACTGTCGTTCTCTGCAAAATTGGAATCCAAGTTCTTATATAAGGTCGACCTTACAGTGCTAAATTTTTTTCTGCGTTATTGCTATTAGCTTTCCTGTAATATGCGTTAAACCAATTCCATATTTCCTATATATATATATATATATATATATATATATATATTATTTCAGAAAAGCATATATATATATATATGCTTTTTTGACATACAGGCATATAATTTTTTATTTCCAGAACAGTAAGTAAATAATAGCAACATTTTACTATTTTTCTTTGAAAAAAATGAGGAAATAAAAAATGAACCAGCTCCAGTTATTAAACAAGTGTCTTTCTGGTTTTTCTGCGAACGAGTGTTCTTGCAGGTTTTGATTTGACGTTTCCGTATTTTTTGACTTTTGCCGTCTTTTCATTCATGCCTTCTTCTGGTGAAGATATAATCATGCCGTACTGAAAACGAAAAAATTCTAGTGAAGAAAGTAAATTCGATTGAGAACAAGTAATTCTAAAAATTCAAGCACACTGATATGAAGAAATATGAAGTTTCAATCCTTAAAAACCAAAATTTCATACATGTAAATGTTTTCCGCGGAAAGGCGTTAAAGGTGCGGATGGAGATAGTTTTCGATTATTTTGAATAATTCATTAACTCATACCATTTCACTACAGATATAACAATATCACTAGAAGACGTTTTGATTACTTCATTAACTCATACCATTTCTCTACCAATATAACAAGATCACTAGAAGATATATTGTTTACTTCATTAACTCATACCATATCTCCACAGATATAACAATATCACTAGAAGACATTTTGATTAATTCATGCCACATCTCTGCAAATATAACAATAACCTAGAAGACGTTTTGATTACTTCATTAACTCATACCATATCTCCACAGATATAACAATATCACTACAAGACGTTTTGATTACTTCATTAACTCATACCATTTCTCTACAGATATATCAATATCACTACAAGACGTTTTGATCACTTCATTAACTCATACCATTTCTCTACAGATATAACAATATCACTAGAAGACATTTTGATTAATTCATGCCACCACTCTGCAAATATAACAATAACACTAGAAGACGTTTTGATTACTTCATTAACTCATACCATTTCTCTACAGATATAACAATATCACTAGAAGACATTTTGATTACTTCATTAGCTCATACCATTTCTCTACCAATATAACAAGATCACTAGACGATATATTGTTTACTTCATTAACTCGTACCATAACTCCACGGATATAACAATATCACTAGAAGACATTTTGATTAATTCATTCCCCTTCTCTGCAAATATAACAATATCACTAGAAGACATTTTGATTAATTCATGCCACTTCTCTGCAAATATAACAATATCACTAGAAGACATTATGATTACTTCCTTAACTCATACCATATCTCCACAGATATAACAATATCACTAGAAGTCATTTTGATTACTTCATTAGCTCATACCATTTCTCTACCAATATAACAAGATCACTAGAAGATATATTGTTTACTTCATTAACTCATACCATATCTCCACAAATATAACAATATCACTAGAAGACATTTTGATTAATTCATGCCACCACTCTGCAAATATAACAATAACACTAGAAGACGTTTTGATTACTTCATTAGCTCATACCATTTCTCTACCAATATAATAAGATCACTAGAAGATATTTTGATTATTTCATTAACTCATACCGTCTCTCTACAGATATAACATAATCACCAGAAGATATTTTGATTACTTCATTAACTCATACCATTTCTCTCATACCAATATAACAAGATCACTAGAAGATATTTTGATCACTTCATTAACTCATACCATTTCTCTACAGATATAACAATATCACTAGAAGACGTTTTGATTACTTCATTAACTCATACCATTTCTCTACCAATATAACAAGATCACTAGAAAACATTTTGATTACATCATTAACTCATACCATTTCTCTACAGATATAACAATATCACTAGAAGACATTTTGATTAATTCATTCCCCTTCTCTGCAAATATAACAATATCACTAGAAGACATTTTGATTAATTCATGCCACATCTCTGCAAATATAACAATAACACTAGCAGACGTTTTGATTACTTCATTAACTCATACCATATCTCCACAGATATAACAATATCACTACAAGACGTTTTGATTACTTCATTAACTCATACCATTTCTCTACAGATGTCGTGAAAGGTTTGCCTGGTTGATATTCGAATAATTGCAATACAGTAGGAAGATTAATAAACCTTTATTTTCCGAAAATGTATTATTAATAAACTGAGCAATAAGAAAGAGAATTTATAATAAAAATAAGACCGGAGGAATTGAGTTTGGTTGACAAAGGAGTAGTCGACAACAATGACAATGATCCCACCCATTTGTTTATTAGAATTGAATTTATATGAGTGAGGATTGGGTGTGTCTAAGATAAAATCACATGTGTAAAGAATTTAAAGTGTTTACAAAGAAGATATTAAAATGAAAGCTAATTTCAATTTTACATAAAAATCATACGTGTGAAGAATTGGAAGTGTTTACAACGAAGAGATTAAAATGAAAGCTAATTTCAATTTTACAGAAAAAATTACATGCATGAAGAATTGGATGTGTTTACAAAAAGGAGATTAAAATTACATGTGTGAATTGTTTACAATTTAAAAAAAAGGAGAGATGATTTATGATACTTTGAAATTGGTTAGAAGTTTTCGCGAAATAATAATTCGCGACACTCCCAAGGGGAGAGAAATTGTTTTAAGATGTAATTTTGAAGAGTGATTTTGAGGTATATAGCTAAATGTACGGAGTTTAATAGGTGGGATTTCTTCTTTAGTTAAGAATTGAGTGTGTGGTGATTCTGTAGGGAGAGTAATGATGGTAGTTTGATTTGAATTTCGTTTTGAAGTATTACAAAGAAGAGATTGAACTAATTTAAATTTACACTTAATAATAACTAAAATAGTTAATATTGTCACGATAATTATACAGATAAAAATCAATTTCCAATGTGTTATCACGTTTTCAAATTCTTCTTCTATCGGTAGAACAATTTCATTGAATTCCTTTTCCATTTGTTTGATAATTTCTTCTCCTTCTTCAGAGATTTCTTGCCAAAAGAGTTCATCCTTCATTTGATGTGGTATTGAATTAATTGTTTTTTGAGTTTGAGTTAGGATTTCCAATTCTGCATTAATTCTCTCAATTTCAAACTTACTTATTAAATCTCCTTTGAATTCGATATTTTCAATTGTTGATTGTTCTGATTTGCAAGGAGCCACCATCAAATTTCCGTTAATTCTTTTAGCTATCACATCGTTTCTTTGAAGTATTAGTTTCGTGGCAAGGGTAGGATTGCTGATTGATAGCCATTTGATCAAAAGTAATAAGTTATTTCTGTTTTGGCAACTTCTCTGCTGTGTTTCTTTGAGTTGTTGAAGGAATTCTTGTCTTAGTGAATCAGAAAG